TTTTTTTTTTTTTTTTAATAAACATACTTTTTTTAAAAAAAAAATGTCATTTGAAGGCATTCCATATTTTGATTCACAAAATAGCAATGTTATTCCATTTCCTAATATTCGACCCCCTTTCCCTCCAACATTCATTACCGTTTCAGATTTTATTAATAAAAGAGAATCTTCCTCAAGAATTTTTCGTAAAAGTCCAAACGCCTTTTTTATTTATCGTAAGGCTTTTACGAATAATCTTACAAGTCTAAATTATAAACTAACGATGATTGATGTATCTAGATTAGTTAGTAATTTTTGGAAACATGAAACCAAAGAAGTCAAAGATGCTTACGCTGAAATTGCAAAAAAAATTGATGTAGAGTTAAAAGAAAAAAGAAAACATGATAAAAAATGTCCAGTTATTTGGAAAATTGATAAAAAATCCAAAAAACAAAAAAGAGGTTCAAGAAGAAACTCAAAAAATAATGATTCAACAAATAATTCTTCAACTAAATTCAGAAATACAACAGAAATTGCATTTGAATCACCAAATTATTCAATCCCAATTAATGAACCTAATCGATCATCTGGAGAAATGAGTTCTCAAACCAGTTTACAAAATTCTCCAATTTCTGCTTCTCCGCTTATTAGTTTTCCTGGAATTATTCCAGCAGGATACGATGTTATGAATTATGATAACTCCTACGAATCTCAATCGAACGAATCAGAAGAAGAAACTTACGATTTATATAACCTTTGCGACCAAAATTTGAATCCGATTTATAATTCTTCGGCGGGATTTAGTAATTTTGTTTATGAAAATATATATGTTCCATATAATTGGAATATGAACGATCCGTGTATTAATAATGGCAACGGGAATTTGGCATGTCAACAAGGGAACGAATTTCATTAATCTTATTATAAATTTCACTATAAAAAAAAAAAAATTATATATAAATATATAAACGATAGTATAAACATAATAATACATAATTCATTTACGTACAATTTTAATATGATTAAAAAAATATATATAAAATATTTAAGAATCACAATTTCATATTTTATAAGAAAAAAAATTATGCTTTTTTTTTTATAATAATTAAGATATGTAAGTAAAAAAAAAAAATTATGAACGGGATAAAAAAAATAGCGCGAGTTTTTTTGTTTGGGGTATCACATGATCATGGTTGATTATTATCTTAGCTGCGGATTAAATATTATTATTTTTTTTTTTTTATGTACCTTTCGTTTTATTTTTTTATATTTATTAATTTATGCATTTATGCACTTAAGGTTTAAACAAATAACTACGCATCATTAAAAAAAAATAATTTTAGAATCATTCATATAAATATGTTGCGATATTTGTTTATCTATCGTTAGTATTGTTTTAACGGACTTACGGACTTTATTAAAACGATTTAAGCCGGACATATTGAACTCCTTACATGGAATGTTCTGAATGTATATTATATTATCTTAGACTAAAACTATAAAACTATTACCAATTAAAAGGATTAAATGAGTTACGAATAATTATGTAAAAAACTTGAATAACTTGTATGATACATTTTTTTAAAAATATTTATATAATAATTGTAAACACGCGAAATCGTAAATAAAAAAATGTTACAAGAACAATTTAAATTATTTATATTGATGGTTATTTCGGGAATCCCGATAAACTAATTTGGGCTTCAAAAAGTAAATGTATTGACTGTATCATCAACTTTATCGATTAACTTTACGCCATCATATAAACGTATATTAAGAATATTGGTTAATTTAGTTTTGTGATCTAATCTATGATCAACAAATATATATAACTTGATATATATTTGTATATGTGATAAAATTAAAAGGAAATAAAAAATAACTAAACAAAAATAAATAAACGCGTTGAAATGTTATCTAGCATATATAAAAAAATATATTATATATATATTATTATATATATATATAAGATTTATTTTGTTTGTACGTGAAACCCTTAATTTAATTTCTACTATTTTACATATGATATTCATCAGTATTTTCTCATTGTGAAACTTTCTCAAATAATATAAAGAAACAAAGAAAAAAAAAAAAAAAAAAGAATGTAATCAAATGAAGAAGAACTTGTTACAGAAAAAGATAAATTAATTTTGGCTGGTGATTTAATAATTTACAATCTTAAAACTTACATATCGGCTTTGTGAATCCGTTGTACTCATGATTTTCTTTATTTTGATTTTTTTTTTTTTCTTTTTTTTTTTATTGATTTTTATGGCCAATCAGCGCAATCAGAGTGAGACAAACCAAAAATGTACTATTTCATAATTTTACATTAACCTTCTTTCAAGAAAACAGATTACGTGTACAGTCAAAAAAAAAAAGCATGGAAATGAGTATGAGTTATTTTGATAATCGATGTCATCCGTTGATCCTTTAGCCGGTCCGGAATGTGTGACAGGTTACGCCGAATATATTAGAGTAAGGAGTGATGTTTAGCGTCATTTAGCGTCACATGATCACGTGCAAGCCCGAGGTTCAAAAACACTAGCCCTGTTCATTTCCGGTCGGATGCATTTTTCGGTCGGATTTTGTTGTACAAAAATTATCCAATAAAATTTTTTTATTTTCGATCGCAAATTGAACTGCTTTAGATTGAAATTTAGTTCGAACTCCTTATATTGATATATATTTTTTTCTTAAATGTCACGTAAACAGAAATTATCTAATTTTGGTTGGTTATTTTTTGGCGTTCGACCAAAAAACCCCCCAAAAAAATTGGGCTAAAAGTTCAGAAAATGGTTGCGTTGTACAAACTGATCAGCCCAATCAAAATTAACTTAAATCTGACCGAAAAATGCGACCGACCGGAAATGAACAGGGCTACTATTTATCTGAGGGACAGTTTTTTTTAGTGGTCCAACCCTTATTTGTCACCTGTTATTGTCACCGATTTCGGCGTAACCTGTCACACATTTCGGACGTGCGATCCTTTATGTATCACGTGCATCACTGACGAATGGTAACGGTTTCAATGCATAATTATTGAACACTTTATATAGGAATTTTAAAAATAACTTGCACCTTCTTGTTTCACAAAAAATAAAATGTGGTTTTTGCTTGCATTAAATTCAGAGATTGTTTACCTTTTTAATTTTTCAACAAACTATTTTAGTACTAATGAAAATCTACACCTGCACTAATAAATAAATAAATAAATAAATAAATAGCAAATAAACTCAATAATTCACAAATTCTAATTACAGAATTTTGTTTGCTCATTTTGGATAGATTGAAGTGAATATTATGCAAAAATTGATGGATTGTGAATTTTCTTTTTTTCTATTACGAAAATCTTAATTGATAAACTTTCCTGTACATCCGAAGTGAATTCATAATGATCTCTTTACGCATAATCCTGCATACGTTAAAGAAGCGTGATGATGATTGACAAAAGCAGATATTTTTATTTAGAATTTTTGATATAAAAGTCCAGTCACTGAAGCGGTTTTTTCATTTTATTTTGAGCTTATCGCTTCTTACTTTTTTATTCATTATATCAAAAAAAAAATCTTAAAACATTTTTTTTTTTTAAGTTTTTTAACATTGTCTTATCCAATTATTAAATTTTAATAACTTTTGTCCATTTTCTTTAAATTTTATGAATTTTTTAAAAATTGAATCACCAAAAATGTCATGTCAAACTACTACTTCTATAATTTCTAAGGAATCGCCTTTATTATCACTTCCGTTCCCACCTACTATTAGTGCTTCAGATATTATAAATAAACGTAAACCTTGTAGATTTATATCAAAAAGTCCAAATGCATTTTTGATTTATCGTAAAGCCTTTTTAGATCATTTATCCCTTACGAATCACAACCTTAGAATGACGGAAGTCTCTAAATTAGTGAGTAATCACTGGAAGAATGAAACAGAATTTGTTAAAGATGCATATCGTAAAATTTCACAAGACGTAGAAACTGAATTAAGCGAAAAACGTAAAGATTGCGTTTCTTATAGAGTTGTGTGGAAAAATTCTAAATATAATACTACTCGTAAACGAAATAAATGTGGAAAAATGGGAAAGGCGATGAAAAATAAAGGAAATAAATTTGATGCTATTCAATCTATTACAAAATTTAAACCTACTGCCAACCGTGGAAATATATTTTATCAATTTGTACCCGCTTTTCCTAATATTGAACATAATTCAAAGAGCTCAAAAAAGCATGAGAAAGAAGTTATTTCAACTTCTGATCATGAAAATGTATGTAATTCTCCAGAGATTTCTTCCCAGAATTCAGAATATTCAGAAAATTCGGAACATTCAGAACATTCAGAACATTCGGAACATTCAGAGCATTCAGAGCATTCAGAATATTTAGAATGTTCAGGATTTAACGAGTTTAATGAATATCCTAATTATCAAGCGTCTAATTATGATTTGGATTGTAATCAACTAAATCAATTATATACAAATTTTAATAATTGTAATGATTTTAATGATCAGTTTTCTGAATCCCTTATAAATGAACAGCAAGAACAATTAATTTATCAAAATATTCCAAAAAATAATAGTATTTACGAATTTGGATTGGATTGGTATTTGCAGAGCTTTATGTAATTTTTATTTTTAAAAAATCATTTTTATATACATAAAGCAAAACTTATGAATTGTAAATATGGATTCTTTATGTATACTTCACTTTTTCTACGTTATCAGTGGGGTTTTAGTTTAATAGAAACTTTTGGATTTCGTTTAATAAAATATTCGGGATTCGGGATTCGTTTAATAAAAACACTTGGAATTCGTTTTAAGCAAACACTTGGAATTCGTTTATTAAAAACTCTTAGAATTCGTTTATTATGAAACACTTGGAATTCGTTTTAAGCAAACACTTGGAATTCGTTTATTTGAAACACTTGGAATTCGTTTAACACAAACACTTGGAATTCGTTTATTACAAACACTTGATTCACATATAACACACTTGGAATTCGTTTTAAGAAATTTTTTTAAACATTTTAAACATAAACACTTTTAATTTAATTGTATTGTAATATTTTTTTTTCTTTTCTTCTAAAATAACTAAGTACCTTATGAATTTCTATTGTAAGCAAAAAATAAAATTTATAATAACATTACGTGTTGAATATAATAAAATGTTTATAATATTGTTTGATAATATTATGTGAAATTTCTTATGTAAAATAAAAAAAAAAACTGACATTCAAGTAAACAATTTTGGTTTTCAGATATTGCTGTTTACGCTGTTTGTATTACAAGATGCAGCCACAACATTCTATTATATTTTACCTAATTCGTAATAGCCACATTGTATTGTATAACCAATTAAATTAATGAATTTTTTCTTTGCCACCCGATCGATTTGTGGCAATTGTTAACGAATTTGGAAAATGGTTTATAACGGTTTAAACGATTTATTATAAATATTTTGTCGATTGAAACGTTAAGAACTTTCATTCAAATAAGAAATTTTAGTTGTTTAATCCAACTATTATTTTATCAGATTTTTTTTTTTTTTTTTCGATTCAACAAAGTATGAATAATTATTACATAATAGTACATGCACTAAATTTCATGCATATGTGACATACATGGTTAGTTAGGTAAGATAATAGTAATCTTGGCATTTAGTACTAAAATTTTTTTTTATTTGATAAATAAATAAATTCATCTGTTGTCCATAAACGGATAAGAGGTGCACAAAAATATTTCACAAAATTATTAGGTTACTGAATTTAAGTGTTAAAAAACTTAATATTGCTACTATTCGTGTGTGTGCAAAAAAAAAAAAAACAAAACAAAAGGGTGGCTTGCATTGTTTGTTACTTTGTTTGTAAATTCATGTGGCGTCCTATTACGAGATTGTTTCCGGATTAAACAAAAGTTTCGGCTGAACAAACAAAAACCGGCTAGAACTTAAATATTAATAATTTTATTGGATGATATTTATTTATTATTTGTTTACTCCTATTATTTATTTTTTGTTATACTCTAAATTTAGCTATGCCAAATATTGTTCAAAGGTTACGAAAATTAACTGTTGGGTGACATTATAAAACAGCAAAGAAATTTCTTTTGTTTACATAAACTTGCTTTGCATTAAAATTTTTACCTTCCTGAAATGAACTCTAATATTTTGCAGAATTGTTGTTTCTGCACCTGCAACTTTAAGTTGGTTGGAACATGTGGAGGGTCTGTATACTGTAATTTAATTAACTATGACATACCAATAAAAAGAATTCTATTATAATAACTTCAAAACTGCAAGAATCTTTTAAAAAAAAAGAATTCTATTTGTAATAACACTTCTTTAAATAACAAACCGTAATGTTTGTTTTCATTATTGCGTAATAAGAATAATAGAAACTAAGAATGGATTCAGAATCATGTTAATGCTTTCCCTACCAAAACAAGGCGGATGTTTTTTTCGAATGTTGATCCAGAATTATCTTGGTTGATATAATTTATAATTGAAGCATGAGGAATTTTATCATATGCTTTATAAATCAAGCAGCCGTCCTACGCCTCACCTTCGTTATAGAACGGGTAAGGTGGAAAAAGTGAAGAATTTGATGATGTATTTGGTAAATCAATCGTAACAATGTTAGAAGAAAAGTTCATCATATCGAAAATTCGCTAAAAAAACGAGCCATGTTTTTCTTAACACCGTCACATAAATCACGTGATACTGACCCAATCCTAAAATGCGCCGCACTTCAAGTTCTATTAATAGATTTATTAACTAGGGGTGAGTTATTAATAGATATTTGTCACGTGAGGACTTATAAACATAGCTATACCTTTTTCGAAACACCCATGTAAAATTGTAAGAGCAGAAAAAAAAGTATATAATAGACAAAAATTTATTAGTCCACGATAAAGTACATAAATAAGCTCACTCATTAAGAAAAAATCGAACAAAACCTTGTTTCGCATCTCACTATAGGACAATGTCAATTCAACCGTTAAATATACGTTAAAATATTGAATAATTGCGTTACTACGCCACGCATAAATATTTTACCGAATTAAGGTGAGACCAATAAGTCACCTTTAAAGATATTGACTACATATAACACAAAAGGTTACATCAAACACAAAAATCTTTATTATTTTTTTTTTTTGAAATATTAAGGGTTCTCATCTAAGAAATATCTGAAATGATTGGAATTTCTCTTTCTTTACATAAATTTTATTATTTACATAACTTGAAAACCACTTAAACTTCTAATTGTTCTGGGATTCACGTTCTTTAATGAAAACCTGGTTCCCGACATCCATTTTCCCGACATACCCTCCTAACAACAAGACACATTCCCGAACGATCATTTGTCGACATGACATTATCCCGAAGATATTTCTCAACGGAACATTTTCCCGAATTTTCCCAAAAATTGATTAGGAAAAATATAACTTCGAGTTAATAATAATAATAATTTTTTTTTTTTTACTATGATGCTTTATAATTGGCAATTTTATATTGATGATAAAACAATGTTTTTAATGTATGCAAATAATTATACAAATAATGTTTTACAATAAATATGATATACAAAATAAATTGAGTAACGAAAATGTCATCTATAAGCCATTACATAAAATCATTGTAATGGTATAAGGTTAACTATAATGGATTCTGAAATTCTTTTAGTCATAAATTCCATAAAGAATCAATTCATAAATCAATTTTCGGAAAAAAATATCTTGGGATGTTATCTTTCGTCCCGTATGTATATCTTTGAGACAAATGTCATGTCCTTCGAGAAAAATGTCACGAGAAAAATGTCATGTTATTCGGAAATATGTTTTATCGGACAATCGTTATCGGGCAAAGTGTACGTCAGGAAATAATATAAATGTCAGAAAATCGTGGCGTAACTTTTTTTTTTTTAAAAAAAAAAATCATTGAAATTATGACTTGAAAATTATCACGACATTTATCCAAATACACTAAAGTCATATTTATAAAAACAAACAAAATTCTGCTGATGAATAACCAAATATAAACCGACCAATTATCCAGAAAAATGGGTTATGTTAAGAATTAATTAAACATATACTCGGGAAAGGGTTATGCTTATAATTTAATAAAACAATTGCCCTTTCCGAATTCGAATTTAGTGATGTTATGTATGACAATGTTTTTTAAAAACTTTGTTCGTTGTATTACGTCTTCGGAATAATTCAGTGCTGTCATTTAAATAATAATATTTACACAAATTTATTTAATAATTAAACAAAACTTAATTTTGAAAAAAAATAAATTAATTACCAAACATTGTTTATGTCCACATATCGATAATATTATTTAATTAAATATTTTCAAGTATAATTTAATTGGTCACCATTAGACGAAAAATATATTTATCGTTTAATATATGACCAGCAATACTCTCGGATTGTGCAACTCTTCTAGACCCTAAGGGTTAAGGGTATTATAATATATTTTAAAATATATACAGTGTTCATAAGTGTAAGCAGAACACATTGAAATTATAATAATTTGTAAAACCTTTCTTTGACCACTTTGTTAATTTATTTCCTGGAATACGAAAAATACGGAGGATAATTTAAAAAGAAAACTTTAACCGAAATAAAATTTAACAAAAAGAACAATATTAAACAAATTAAGTAAATACGTATCGAAATTCTAATAGAAATTATAAGTCCGAGAGAAGTTAAAACAAATACATTTCGAAAATTCTAATATCCGAGGGAAGTTATGTCGGGTAAATGACTAATTTGGCACATAAATGTTATTGGACAAATATACTCCGTTCATGATGGTTTTTTTTGGGAGCGTTAATAACAATGTGAATACAATGATTGGCTGGAAATTTCTTGAAAAGATTAAAAAAAAAAAATTTCCAAATTTGTGACCATCTTTTCTAAAAACGCCTAAACAGAAAAACCGAAGTTGATTTTATTACTAAAAATGAATTTATTGAGTGTGCATCAAAAAGACTATTAATATCATATAATTCGAAATAACCATAATTAGATGAAAATCTTGATAATCAAATTTTCATATGCTTGAGCATCATTTTAAATTTCAATTATGAAAATGTTATTTTTAACCTACATGTTATTTTCATTTGTATGAAAGTTTTCAAGTTATTTCTTATAAACTATATTCGTAAAATGAAAAGAAAAATTTTCTAGACTTAAATTACATCTAAGTAGAATGCATAATATGGAATTCCTTTTAAAAATTAAAATCTGTGATACGGAATCTTCATTTTCTTTGTTTGTAATTACTTTTGTGGAATAATTTCTAAAAATCGTATTTGTGTTACATTTTATCTTTGCGGAGTGCGCAAAATTAAAATTTTTAGATTACAATATTCTTTTTGTCGCAGTTTTCAAGTTTATTTGTGATTGTATATTCGAATCCGGTTTTCGGTTTTCTTTTTTTTATTCAAATTTAACTGCGTACATACACCATTAAATATATTATGCCATATGAAAAATGTATCATATTCGCGGAATTTATAACCTCATAACATGCAAGTTTGCGTAAATATAACATATTCACGGAGTTTTAATTTTTACAAAAATTACGGATAAAATTTTTTACAGGGGTTGTTTTGCAAATTTTGAAATGTACAAATTGAATTTAATACATTTAATGCATGCATAACAAAAAGAACGTGGTGTTATAAGGTTGAAAGTCAAAAGGTTAGATTAAAGATCAAATTTAGAAGATAACATAATATACAGAATATTTTTGGAATATTTGGAAATGAAAAGAAAGTGCTTTATAATATATTACATCATTTGACATTATATGAATGAACATTTTTCCTGTGAAACTTTTTTAGAAAGAATTGTTCTCACCGAAAAAAGAAATGGTTGACTTTGAAATTTAAAACTGTTTATATTGATTATAAACGGTAACAATTGTTTCTACATAAATAATTAGATTGTAAAATACGTTAGGAAATCTAATTCCGTACCGCCGCCGAATTGAAAACTTAGTTATCAAATATGAATTAATAAGGAAGTAGATCGTTTCATATTAGATCAAAACACAAGATTTTCTGCACCATCCAATTATTTATGCAAAAAAAAATATAATAAATAATAATGACACATTATGATTCTATTAAAGTGTATATATAATAAAAATATTAGTTTCAGTTCTCCATTTTAGTAAATATCTTTTTATGTAAATATGAAAATTAATCCCTGAAACATTTCAACGTGGATTAAACCTTTCTTTAGTTTGTGTTCACACATAGATTTTACAATGAATATAATAGAATATAATAGATATATTGTAATATTAAAAGCATAAAAGTGTTACGAGTTAAAAGTTACAATCTTTACAATCTTTTTACCAATTTAGTAAAGATAATGAAATAACGCGTAATCAAACTGTTATAAACGTAAACGTATATATTAATTATTAATAAGCAGGATTACACGTAAATAAATAAAAAATAAATAATGAATATATATGCGCGTGAAAACATTGTTTTTTTTATTCTAAAATAATAAAAAATAATAAATTTTTATTATATCACATAATTTATATTTATACATATCTTCTTGATAATTTCATATGTACATACTTATTGGTTTGAGGTTCCGTAACACATGATATCAACAAATGCCAAGACTGAATCAAAAAAATCTTGGCCGAATTCGATGAATTCTCTTACGAGAAAATACGAGTTAACAAATAAATAAATGAGTGACACAGTTAATAAAATGAGAAAAATATACCACGATTACTTATCTTACTTATCTTTGCCTTTATGGGATTAGTTTAGCTCTAAACAAATGCGGATCACTAAATAATTTTTTTTTTTTTTTTCAAGACGACAAACTTGATTTAATTAATTAAATATCTTTAATAAAATAATTTTTAATTTTATTTATACATAATAAAATAAATTAAAAATTATCGCGTTGTAATTGTCACTGATTTCAATCCCTTACTTCCCTTACTTCATTCATATATATATAATTAATTACGTAACAGATTGCGCAATCAAAAATTTGTCACATAATATAAGTACACAATTGTATTATTATTCATTATTCTCATTTTACTTAAAAACAAAGAAACATCTTTAGTAATTCAGTTTTCATATTGATTTTCATATTGTAACTGAAGCTGCAATTATTTGAAATTTCATTATATTAAACAACGTAAAATAAATAAATATATTTTATTATTGAGATAAAATATTATTACAATGAGATTAACGTAATAAACATATTAAATCACGTGAATCGGGTATAACCATAAATATATTTATAATATTAATTAGTTGTCCCAATTCGTCTTACGCCAATAACCTCCATTTTTTTTTTTTTTCTTTTTTTCTTGCAAGAAAATTATTATTTATATTGTTTGGTTTATCTTTTATTTTTCATTATTAGTGGCTAAATATGCTACTATATCCGAAAACGGAAAAAATTATCCGTTAGATTTAAACTTCTTTTGTATATTAAATTGATCTTGATAAATATTATTTCCATTCATCCATTCATAATTTCTATTCAAGTAATTTTTCGCTTTATTTTTTTTTTTTTACTGCGAGCTTTTTTATATAAAATTCATTTTCTAAAAGTGAAAGAAAGAAAGAAATATAAGGAAATTTTATATAAATACAGTCCCGTTTTCCACTACCGTTTTTATCATCAGTTTACTTTCAATTTTATTAAAAAACCGTTATTACTCGATAAATTTTCGGTTTTAAATCAGAATGTACGTCAACAAATGTTTGATTAAACCCATTCGGAATACGAAAAAAAGCGAAATACCATCCATTAGCGTGCCTTTTCCACCAGAATTAACAGTAGAGGAAATTTTGAGACGTAGACCTGACGCAAAACTAGGATCAAGAGCGCCAAACCGCTTTTTTATATATAGGCTGGCCTACATAAAAGAACTCAGAAAACGAGTAGATGATACTGTCTCTATGACAAAGATATCTCCTCATATAGGTTTATCTTGGGCTAAAGAATCTACTTCCGTAAAAGAAGCATATAAGAAATTATCAGACAAGGTGGAAGAACGATTGAAAGAAATAAGACAAAACGAAACCTTGGTCCTTATTTCCGAGAACTTTCCGCCCCAACAACCACGATCTCCACAACATCCATTATCTCCACAACATTCATCATCTCCACAACAATTATCATCTCAACAACAACATCAACGCTCATCATCTGAACTTAGTGAAAATAATATTGTCGCTGAAGAAAATTATAATTTAATAAACTGTCTTTATCCTTCTTACCCGCCATATGATCAATACCCAATTGACCAAATCGAAGACGTTTTGCAAATGGATCCTACTCCTTCCTTTGACGCATCTATTTTTTATCAGGATATGGTCAACTACGAACATCATCACTGGCCATATTATTATGAGTCAAATGCACCATGCTTCTGGTTGGTAGAAGATAATTCGATTCTAGTCGACTTTAATAATACAATCGAGTCGATTCTAAATCAGCAATTCGATTATTAATCGCGTTCTTATTATTCGCTATACAATTAATTACTACGTTATTATTTAATTATGAAAAAATTTAAGTTTTACGTTTTTTTTTTTTTTTGCTGTCTAAATTTAAGTACAATAAGCTATTAATAAGTTTTAAAAAAAAATTCAAAATTATTTTTTAAAGAACAATAATATATGATTTATGATTATTATTAATAATTTCTTAATACGTAATTTGTCATTCCCATCATTACCGTTTTCATGGTTTTGAACGAAGCAAGTGTAATGTGGTACAATTACGATCGTCTTACCAAAATAAGCTTACGCATTGAAAATTACAAGCACGCAAAATCTTTTTAAGTTAAGGATATAGATTAGATTTAATTATATTGTATTATTGTATTATTTGTATAATAAACCAAAATAAAATAAAATAAGGTGATAAAATGCTTTATGATTAATTAAAATATTTGCTGTGATATTGCATAATTTCAGTTGTTTAGTTATCACATAGTTATCATATATTATCATGTCACGTAAAATTCATATCACTAATTACAAAAATGGCTTGAACTTACGTCTCTTATGGTAAAATTCAATCAAAGAAACACTTGTTGTGCAACATGAAAGATATTTGAGATGTATCGGGTTTTCCGATAAATCTTTAGTGATAAAATCGCATGACGCACAAACATTTTTTTATTGATAAAAAGGGTATACGCTAAAAAATTTTTTTCTCATTTCAAAATTCTAGATTCAAAACTTCCGCCCAAATACTGCTACCTGCATGTAATTTGAAACTTATTTTATCGAAATAAATAAAAATTTAATGAAAATAATCAAATTTGGAAAATAAAAATCAGAACTTTAATTTAAATTACTTACCATAAATATTCTATTCTAAATTTTATGTAACAACTTTTACGGAGTAATTGCAGTTTACTGTGCCAGTCGATGAAAAATTAAAATCGTCTTGGAGTGAAAGGTGAAAATTGACAATTTGTTTCTTATAAAGGGTCCTATAATCAAACCCAAAGGTCTTGATCTTGACGTTTTTAAAGAACGAGATAAAACCTACGATAGGTATATAAGGACGTTTCTTCAAATTTTTTGGATGTATCAATTACGAAATTCGCATTTAAATTCTAACTTATTCTGGTAATTAATTACGGAATTCATATTAATTTTAACCTTGAGTAAGATATATTTATACCAAATAAAATTTATTATTTGCGTTGTATCAAATTAATTTATCGACTTTTTTTTTTTTATTTTCTTTCTTTCTTTATTATTCATTAATTCATTTATATATATATATCATTTCATTCATTCTTTACGAAAAATTTGACCAATTCAATTATTTTATATTTTATAGAATCAAATAGATCCAGATGGAACTTATGATGTAGCTTCTTGCATTACCATGCATTTATTACATAAGCAAAGGTTTTAGAAAGTTGGAAAAGGCGAGCGAAATGTACTTATCCAATAAAACGTTCGGAACAACCTAGTTGCCAGACTCCCTTTAACAACATGTTGTATGTAATTTCATAATTTTTTTTATTCGTTTTTGTTCGTTCGCATTGACAATATTTTAATAGTTCTTATATGGTACTCAATCATAATTATCTAGCTGTTAAAATTAAAGATTGAAGTTTTTAATTGAATTTTTTACAAGAATTCACGAGAGTTGTTTAGGTGTAAACTTGCACCAAGTAATCTATGATTTATGTTTGTACAAATTTATGCTTCTGATATGGAAGATCATTACTCTTGGAAACTGTTCAATAATTACACTTATAATAGGTATAAAATATTCAGGATGTTATAATCAATGTATGTTTAATCATGATTGACTTTTTTCAGAGTGGTGAATTCTTCTTTAGGTGATCCTTTCTTTGACTTGGTTTATTTTATAGGTAATTCTTTCATGTTGGTTCTTCTTTTACCTTTTGGATTTTTTTTTTTATCTCATGAATGATTATTTATTAAATTCAAAAGATGGTTCTAATTAATTGTGATATTTATTTCCGATATTTTAGATAATTCGTTTAATGCGTCTATATATATTTATCTTTATGTTTATATAGTAAATACACAGGATCTCGCTTATTGTAAAGTTAAATTTTTAACATGATCCTTTTGATTTGTTTAAGATTATAATTGGAGTTTGAATTAAACTAACTAAGAGTATTTTTTTATATTATTATCTATGAGCCAATTGATGAATTTAACATGACTCAATAATATTGCAAGGAAATCTCTTAATAATTTTGCGATAATGAATTATAATTTTTTTAAAAAAATATTTTTGTCACATCATGGTCATGATGTAGTGTTGCCAGCAAAATTACACATGTATACATGTGATCTGAAATATGCCACATGACAGGAATTACTTTTCTTTCGTATTAATATGGAATTCTAGCAGTGAAATTGCTTCAGCGAAGGGTGTCTAAATAATTGTTTGAATTATTTAAGTATAATTTCCATCAAAGCTTGTTTGAATATTTTCGAAGATATTAGCATTTTTCCTGATTTTTTTATTTGTAACGTAAATTTCAACATTTAGTCAAACTAAACAGACAAAGAAAGTTTTAAGTAAAGTAATTAAGCAAACATGGAATTAATCACATCAATTTTATCACGATTCACGAATATTAGCAAAGTTGTGGCTGAAATTACTGCGCCACGTGTCCACGATTACTATTTTGTAGCATGATTCAGTATTTTATAAACAAATAGTGTTAAGTAAAGTTGTTATTTAGCGGACATGGAACTACCTAAATATCAATTTTCATTAGTCTAGTTTGAATTTTCGTGATAATAGTACTTAAAAAATAAGTTTCTTTAAATAAAATCATCATATCAGTCTCATGTCAGCATTCAATTATTTGATTATTAAATTAAATATTTATGGATTAAAAATTCTTAGCGTTTATGACAAAATAGTAAATCAATTTTTTTTAAAATATTATATACCGTAAAGCATTGCCAGCCAAAAGTCACGCGATCGAGTATTAGTTGTCCGAAAATAAATTATGAAAACTTCCACTTTGCCGATCATGTCTAAAAATAGTTAGATTGTTTTATCAATTTTTTTGGTTTTTTTTTGAATAAAACTTAATACAAATATTATCCAGCTTTTATAATCATAATTTCTATAAGAATAAATACTTTCTCTATAAGTTTGATTAAGATTAAAAGAAATGGTTGTATACCATTTTTTGCTCTTTTATATTTAAATTTGTAAAAGTTAACCTTAGCAAAAAATTGGCATTCAAATCCCATGTTTTCTCCCTAATTAAACTTGCAGAAAAAGTAAAAATGTATGTAGAATTCAATTTTGAAGTCTGTATAGTGGTTTTGCTAAGTTTTAATTGAAAATTGAAAATAAAAATATCGTTAACTGATTATCATCTATTTTTGGAAATGATCTGCAAATTTTGATCACGTGCCGATTATTTCTTGGTGGTTACGCTGGGAAAACCGGTATGAAACGTCAGTCACGTTACCGAAATTCTATCGTAAACCAGTAAAAGATATTTTCATTAGTATAATAAATTCACGTTTGATCATAATTATTTAACTAGAATATGCACTCCGCAGTACTAGTAAAAGGTTGGACCCGGTTAACAGGAGTTAAACCTAATTCCATAATTCTGGCCAGGTTTATTTAATGACATGCAATTGCGGTCACGACTTCAAAATCAGTGAAATGTTTTTTTATATGTATTAATGAAAAAAAATATTTTTAATATTAACCGGTTAATTCATCGGTTAAAGTTTTTTTTTGGACGGTCCCAACTTTTAGAAGAATTTAATATATTAATTCGTGATCTATGAGTCGACTGCAAGGAACCAGAAAAGAGATCTGCATACGCAAAAAGGATTCGGGCATTAATACAAGGTCAAGTATATGCTGATTTATTACCTTATCTTTATAGGCATTTATCCGATAATATAGAAATGAGGGTTAGAATTGCTAATGGCGTGGCGTCAAATAAAAGTAAAAAAAAAATCATTTTAAAAAATAGACTATTTGAAACTTTTGGATAAATATTATGTGTTATGCTCACATAAAATCACCGTCAACTCTCAATGTAACGAACCCTCCGGTTTTCACCTCAAATTTGTTATAAGATTATTGTGAAGAATTTAAGGAATTTAATTGGCTGGTTCGTTATAATGAGGGTATTTGATTGGTCAAATGTCACGTGCTGAGAAAAGAGTAACTTATATACGGCGATCGGTCAAACTGGTCGTAAAACGGTTATATCGAGAGTTGACTCTACTAGTGATCAAGAAAATTTTGCACTGGAAATCATATATGAATTTTTTGAATTCTTTGCAGTTGATTCACGGGATTACGAATTTACTGTATAATTATTAATAATAAATAGGTGACGATTATCATTAGATATATTGAAGTAAGCCAAAAAGGGGGACGTAATTATTTTTTTAAGATTTTTACTCCATTTGCTGTAAATTTCATCTCGAAGGGTTTCAGCATGTCGTTGCTTTTTTGTTATAATTTAATAATTTTTAAATATAAAATCTAGATAGAAATATTTTTACTGAAAATATAGAGCAAAAGATTATGCTGTATGAAGTTGAAGTAGTATCAAGAATATATGGTTAGTCTTGAAGAAGGAATCTGGCTCATCTCACCGACAGTTTATTCACTTAATCAGCAAATTTTTTCCACGTAAATCCACATGGAAATCCATCAAATCTGTAGAAATCTGAATGGTTCCAAATATCCTGTGACGAAAATTCCACGTAGAATAATATGGGAATGTATAGAATTCCTGAACTAATCAATATGGAATCACGTGGGACGATCTACCTAAAAATCTCATGATATCCTAGTCTTATCCTAACCCTAATCCTAACCCTAATCCTAACCCTAGTCTTATCCTAACCCTAATACTAACCCTAATCCTAATTCTAATACTAACCTAATACTATCCATAATTTCGTTACCTAAACCTAACTCTAATCCTAAATTTTCTTGTCGATGATTATGATTGTCGGCGAAACATTTGTCCCTATCGGTGAAGTGTCTGTCGGTGAGGTGAAATGATTTTCGGTGAAATAATGAAATGAATATGACCCCGGTTGATCATAGTAATTGTTTAACTAAAATATGTGGGACTTCGTCCTTCATAATAAAATAATGCTTTTTTTTTCAGAGTTTTTATGTTTTTATGCTTTCTTTGTAGTAAATCTCACCTTGAAAGGTTATAGCATGTCGAAATATAAAATACAATGAAATATTTTTACTGAAAAACTTAGGACAAGAATATGTATTAAAGGGGAAGAACATAATTTTAATCTTGAAGAAGCTTGACAACAACTTCACATTAAATTTTCTTTTTTCAAATAAATAAACTTGTGATAAAATAAATTGAATGTACGAACCTCCTACCATAATATATACTGCCAAAAATACCATCTAAAGAGAATGTATGTAGTATAATAATATATCTTGGTTGCCATTAAAAATACTACTTTCTTGAATTGTGAGAGCTGAAATTTGTATAATAAGTAATAAATTAGTAATAATATTTATTTTTTTTTAATTAAGGTTATAATATTTTTTTTTTTAAAAAAAAAAAAATTTTATACTCTTAAAAAAACAATACAAGAATTTTTTTTTTAAATAATAAATATTATACTTTTTCGAAAAAATTTTAAAAATTTTCAAAGATAAATATAACAATTTGGCCAATAAAATTCATCAAAACTTTAATCATGCACCCCGTAATTGATAAAAGGTCAACGGAAATATCATTACAAATTTACAGGTACAAGATAACATTTTTTAAGGGTGTCCAATAAAGACAATAGAGTTTTTTTCATTTTTTTGATTCCCAACAATGGCTTTTTTTTATAAACAAAACCTTTTTGAATGCACGATAAAATATTTTTTTTATTAATCCTTATTTTCCAAATTAGAAAAATTCCTAAATTTAGTAAATTTTAATTTTAACTTAGTAATAATTATTATTATAAATCAAAACTAGTTAAACAAATTTAGTAAAAATTGGCACATCCCCCCAAAAAAAAATATTTTGTTTGTTTACATTTTCACACGTTATCTATATTATGAATATTATCGTATTTCTTTTTATAGAATTGAATTGTTTATGTACTGCTACTGTATGTTGCAATCTGATCGTTTAGATTGTTTCTTAAAGAAGCAATTTGTAATAGGGATTGATTCGTATAATTAATTTATTTTTCATTTTTAGATGCTACCGAAAAATTTATCATGATAAGAAGGTATATAATGTGTTGTGTGTAAGGTTGTAAGGTTGAATTTGTATGCAATCGTTTTTATTCACAAGCAAACGAATTAATTCTAGGTAATCCAATTCGCTGCTGAAAAATTGATTACATACGTCTTGACCATACAATACAGTTCATCAAAATTATGTCGCCAAAGTAACCACAACGTAATAAAATCCACCATTATAATTACTAAATAAAAACATTCTTTTTTTATCCCGCCAATGAAAAAAGTCATTTGATTAAAATAAAAAAGTTCTCGTTAATTCTTTGTTTTTATTAGAATTCTTTTGTTTTCCTACATGGTAAATTGTATCGCAGTGATCAACGCATATACAGTAATTACAAGAATTTGCATTATACCGAAAAAAAAAATGAACCATTATGAGAGCATAAGAAAATGTGATAATTTTATTTATATCTTTTTTTTTTACTTTTCGTCTTTATCTATTATTACTGCGCCATTATGTAGTTATCAATTCAAAATTTAAATTAATTTTATGAACAATTAAGAAGTTATTAATCAGGGTATTTTTTTTTATATAAAACTGTTTTTATTTTTAAAAACAAAAATAAGAAAAGAAACTCTCCAAATTTTATTATGGTTTTATTGATCAATGTAAACAATAATAATTCGAAAAAGTAATTCATAATTTAATTCAATTATTCAATTATTCAACAATATCATTTGATTATGTTCACACATTAAATACACGATACTTAATAAGTTAAAAGTAATATAACAATTTATTTCACCAAAAAATTGCTTTAACAAGTTTCAAGAAACATCATAAACCATATGATGATTAGAAATCAATTATACGTCCACGACAGATTGGTTGTTTTTTCCTTATAGTTAGAATATTAATATTATTTTATGCTATCATTAAATTCGGGATCATAATTAACAGTATTCAAAATTTTAAACCAACCAAATCCCTTAAAATAACGCTTATTATCTATTTAAATTAAGTGAAAAACAAAAAACTAACAAAATCTTTTAATAGCTCTATATAAATTAAACATTCATATATCATAATTAGTATTACTTAGTGAAACATCACAACAATAGGCCAAATTAATTTGTCACTCGGTAAATGTCGATCTGAATAATTTGGGAGATAAATAAATCTATTTTTTTTTGATCGATTGCTAGAGATCGAATGACAACAAAGGAAAAGAGATGTATTAATTTGGTTGGCTGGTTTATATCAGTCGTTTTTATCTTTATTCTTTCCTGGTTAATTTAAAATTAAATTTTTTTTTTTATTCCATTCATTTACTTATCTAGAAAAATAACATTAATTGCATTATCGTTTCGTGACAAAAATCCACAATATGGTGTGATTTTTTATTTTTTTTTACATTTATTGATTTTACGCCGGATTCTTTGTCCGGGATTTGTTATCCAAGAAAGATCGTATAGTATCGTAATAATAATAACGAAAAAGGAAAGAAAGGAAGGAAGAAAGAAAAGAAGAAAAAAAAAAAGAAAAGATTTTAGGCATTATTAAAATTTAGCTTTTATTTACTTCTTTTCACATTGTTTAAACGCAATTCGGAGAATTTAATATTTCTTAAAAAGTACATCAAAGTAAAGTAAGTTGTTTTTTTTTATTTTTATTTTTTAAAAAAAAATAATAATAATTTTCTTTCATTTCCTTTAATTATTCACAATTTACATGTCATCATATGATGTATGAGATAGGGGGTTCCTTTAATATTGTCAAGTGAACTTAAATTACTTAAATTTCTTTTGTAAAAAGTTTTTAATTCGTTTTTTTATTAATTATTTTGTATAACGCGCGATTTAAATTCGTATTCCATTTTGATTTTTTTTTTTTTTTTTTTTTTTAAAAAAAAAAATGAACATGTTGTATAATTAATGGTCACATGATTTAGATGCAATCAATTTTGGGTTTTAAAAGATTTTTTAGACATTAAAATATTGTATTTTTTCGCCACATTATTATTCCATGAGCAACATTGTGCATCCACATGTCAGCGAAACCATAAAAAAAAAATATAAATAGGATGAATTTCTCTCAGTGAAAAAAATATTTCAGGTGGGGAAAAAAGTATAAATTACTTCTACAAAATCTGTAACAATTTGATAAAAATGCCAAAAATCAATCAATTACAAGCTCCCGACGTGTCAGAATTTCGATTGTCCTTTCCCCCGGCGATCACAGCTCGTGAAATAATGTCGGATAAAAGGAAAGGCAAAAAAGCTTCAAGACCTCCGAACGCGTTTATGATTTATCGAAAGGTCTTTTCTAGAGAACTGGCCAAGAATTATCGTTTTCAACAAATGAGAATATCTTCCCTTTGTGGTAATTCTTGGAAACGTGAACCAGCGGAAGTAAAGGAGTATTATCACAGATTAGCGCATGAAGCAGATAAAATATTCTTACAAGATTTACAAAATGATTCGCAATTACCTCCCCCGTCGTTACAATTATTCTCACCGTCACAACTCCCGTCATCACTATTATTTCCGCCATCGCAACCATTTCCGTCGTCTGAACCATTTTCGTCATCACAAACATTTCCGTTATCGCAAACATTTTCTTCATTTCCGTTATCACAAACTTTTACTTCATCTCAATCATTTCCTGAATCATTACAATCTTTACAATCTGAGAGTGTGGATGATTATTTGAAATATTTTGATGACTTGGAAAGAATGCAAGAACCTCAAAACTATAATAACGAAGATTTTGTACCAATTCAATCGTTCATTCCAAACACTTACGACTTTTTTGACATGAACATTCAACAATCGTACTATCCGATTTATGAACTAATCGACGAAACCTTTCCCGAAGAATATTTTCTATATTTTCAATAAATTTCAAAAATTTTAAGTGGGACATTTTTTTTTTTTATCGTTTTTCTTTATAATTCGTTAACTTATCGACGGTGATAAACCTAAATTTAGTAAAAATAAAAATTATGATGGGAACGAAAAAATTTTGCTATGATTACTAAGACTTTTTTTTTTTATGTTCATATGATTAGAATTATATATATTAGGAAATAATATATAAGAATACTTTATTTTATTTTATTTAAAATTATAAGAAATGATAGAACGATAATTATGATTAAATATGTAAATAAAAACAGATAAATAAGTAAATAAGAAATTTTTTTATGATAAATAAACCAACCAATCATGCTATCTTTTTTACAAATTATACATTTCGGAGACATAATTCCTATACATTTTCTTTAAATTATGAATTAATAAAACAAATTCTTTAAACTTATCTTTTTTGTATTAATAATCTCGTTTCATAAGTTGGCGTTTATAAAAACTTATCCGTCATTGTAAACGCCAATTTGACTTTTATTGAAGATTACTAAATAATTATAAGATCTACAATTGCAGAATCCAATAGGAAGATCAGAAATATTAACCCCAAAAAAAAGAAAAAAATTTCCTTTCGTTAAAGCAAAAATTTGTTCATAATTATTTTTTTTTTTTATAAATAAATAATTTTTTTTTTTTTTTTAAAAAAAAAAAAAAAAAAAAAAGTACATATAGNAAAAAAAAAAAAAAAATAGAGATAATATTAAATAAATGAAAGAATTAAAATAATATAAAAGAAAATTAATTTCTAAATTTGAATTAAAAAAAAAAAAATGCTTTTATACTTAATTCAGTAATATTTAATTAAATATTTATTCCTTTATGTTTTTTTGTTTTTTTTTATTTTACAATGTAAAGAATCAAACTTGGAATAAACGTGGAATCAATTGTGTTTTCTTAATTTGGCTATTTATTCAATAGATTACAACAGATTTAACCGAATAACGTGACGATTTATGTTGCCAAATATGATGGATTGCATTGTGTCCGTACGTCTTAAAGTATACGGTCCAAGATAGATTTGATTGAGATGTAACTTGGTGATGTTACAAAATGTTATAAATAGTCATTTTACAATTTCTAAAATTGTTATTTTATTTAGTCACATTTTACATGATATAAACTTCAAATTACCATTTATATCATATTTGTCCATAAACAAAATATATACAAATATACAAAGAATCTAAAGGAATCTTGAATAACAAAATCTCATAAATAAAATATAGAAAATTACAGATATTAACAAATCAAGCCCTCTTATAACAACAGTATAATACACACAGTATATACAATGCTGTATGCCGTGATTTCCAAATCAAATTGAATCAATTTAATGATCGAAATCATTCAAATACCATTCTAAATTATGATCTCCAAAGTGATCTTGACTATTATTTATGATCGTGGTAGGATCATAAAGTTTTTTATGACCATAATCATAATCATAATCATAATCATAACAATTATTAATATTAGAATCATTTGATATTTGACAATCAATTGATGAAATTGTCAATTCATTATCATAAAGCCGCATAATATTGTCATCTAAAATTGAATTGAAATTAAAATTTGGAGATAATCTCGGTTGTAAATACTTCAAGATTTTTATTGAATTTGGTTTAGAACAATTGATCCCTCCATTATTAATTTTGTTCTTAGAATTATCAATCTCATTAGTTGAACTCTTTTCATTGATTGAAAATGTTGAAATTGTACATTCTCCAATAGATTTACTTTCTTTCCTCTTCATAAACTTATGTTTTTCAATATCATTAGCATATACTAAGTTTTTGTTTCTTATATTATTCAATTCTTTTTCAACTTGTTTTGAAATTTTTTTGTAAGTTGTTATAACTTCTTGAGTTTCATTTTTCCAATGTTCACTAGCAAGTTTAGAAACATCTGTCATCTTGAATTTATGATCTAAAGATAATAAATGATCCATAAATACTTTTCTATAAATAAAAAACGCGTTTGGTGCTTTAGAACGAATGTTTGACCGAAGTCTTTTATTTGCTATCTCATAAGCGGTGATGTTTGGAGGGAAAGGAAGTATAACGCGAGGTAAAATATTATTAGAAATGACATTTGAAAGATTTTCTGAATTCAAATTTGATACATTCATATTTTTTTTTTTTTTTTTTTTAAGGATAAATAGAAATAAATCCAACGATATACGATATACGATATACTGTATGTATAGTATTATATATATACTGTGTAAAATAATCATATATAAAATATTAATAATTAAAGTTTGACAATCTAATCAAATTAAGTTAAATTGTTTAGAAGTGTTTAGAAGAAGGGGAAGGAAAACATCTAAAAAAAAATAGATCTAGTTCCTTATCATAAATCGATAATATAACTTTAATCAAAAATCTATGCATTGTTTTAGTACATTTACCAACTCATATCAATGTACAATTATACATAAATTTCATACAGAATAATATGCATTGTTTTAGTACACTGACCAATTCATATCAATATACAAATATATAAATTTCCGTTATGTGACAATAAGAAAAAAAAGATTTCAAAACCAAACATTCCCGTTTAAATATCCAATTTAAAACTTTAATATTACCAATTATGAAAAACAATAAAAAAAAAATATTATCTTCTTTATCTTTTGTAAACAAAAAAATCTCATAAATTCTTTTCAGGTTAAATAAATTGATAATTTGAAACTCCGAAGGCTGTTATTTGGTAATTAAATTAATTAAATTAGGGAAAGATTACTAAAATATTTACCTTCTATTTATAGATTAGGAATCAATTCTCCGTGTGAAAGAATATTAAAAAATCAATCAAAAATTTCATGGTCGTTTATTAAACCTCTATTGAAGTGGCTGTGCATTTGCATTATGTCTAATTTTAGTGATTGTCAGCGTTTTTTTTTTTTTATCACAAAATGTGATATTTCGAAGATCTATTCGAAAATGCGAATATTTTTAACTTCAAAACTTTTTCAGATTTTTTTTATGTTGATTACTTATTGTATTACGAATCATTTAATAATCAATTAAAAATTAAAAATTACACTAAAAGTAAATATTTCGTCCCCCCTAAAAATTTCATCCCTTGTTTTTTCTTTTCTTCTTAAGAAAAATTCAAAATTTCGAAGTTAATAACCAAAAAAGTAAACTTTAAATGAGTAAAAATGATTCGATGATTTTTTATTTATATTTTGTAATTCATTGAATAGCGTAAATCAATATTATTTGCATTTTATTATTATTAATAATTTTTTTAGTTACTCGTTTTTTATAATTTTATACATTGTCTCAACTTTTTTTCTTAAATCGCTTAATTCACATGCTTTTTAAAATTTGGTTGCATCACTTACTTGTGTTATATTTTTTAAAAAAAATCCCTCTCAATAAATACTTTTTTTCGATCATAAGCATCACAATTAAAATTTTATAAATGATCACATGATGCGCATGATTATTAAACAGTAATTTTCTTCCCTCACGTGAGACGTGAGTGACGTAACCTATAAATTTCAGAGGACAGTTCCCTCGAAATTATTTTTTTCACATCCCCTTAAATGTCACCGAACACCGATCACGTGGAGTAGAATTTTTTAATTAAATTGTTGGTGTTACAACAGTAAATTGATTACAAATCGATCTGAAACAGTGATGTCATTGGTTTTGCCATTAGGCGGTTTTTGTACTAACCATGTGGTCCATATCAAGCAGGTTTATTCGCGTTCACGTGATAACGTAATTGCATGTTTATTAATAGGTAATAACGATATAGGAAAGATCACTATGGAGCCGCAGTTCATTTGTTATTGGTTGTCTTTCAAAGGTTTTCCTCTTCGAATCGTATTGATGCCAATTTTTATATAGTCATAAATCTTATTAAATAAATTAGACAAAGACGTTACTGTTATGTTATTGTATAATCATGATACCTAGATATATACTGATATTGTCATATTGATATATAATTACTCTTCCACTATATTAAGAGAATATATAAATGTCGACATAATTTAATTTTGATACGCCGATATTTTCCGAAGAATTTCTTTCATATAGATCCAAAATATCATTATATCGGAGTTTGGGTTGTCTTGCAAAAAAAATGTTATATCCCTGATATATATATATATATAATTTTATTATCCGTAATTATCCGTAATGTCCGCAAAAACTCCGTGAATCCGTGAATATGAGACATATACGGAAAAATAACCAATAATTTAGATAATTTTAACTATAAAATTCTGTGAATATGATACATTCATAGAAATAACATGAAAAAAAAAAAAAAAAAAAAAAAAAAAAAAAAAANATAAATTTTTTTTTATAGGCTTTATGTTCTTTTACATATAAAGTTTTCATAACAATAATAATAAAATTAGTTAAATCATAATGTGAGTGCGGAATTGTTAGTCCGAATGTTAAAGTTATCCGATATCCGAAAAGTGTAAGTTTTTTTCTATACTAATTTCAATCTCGATAATGAATAATTATTTTTATGGTATTGTTACACAATACATTTATATTATTTATATTTCTATATTAGTTCATATATATATAAAAACGCGTATATATCCTTTTTTTTTTTTTATGTGCGATTACAACAAACAAATCGCGTAATATGGCAAAATGCACAAAAATCATTGGACATCTCAAACAATTAATTCAGTTAATAATTACCTTAAATTGAGTATTTTTAAGTATTTTAGGTAAAGTCATATTTTAATTACAGGTTTTTACATATCACAGGTTTTTACATATCAATGATAAATTTTTTTTGGATTATGCATTACAACCGTTACAACTGTTAGATGTAAGTTCTTTGATCAAAAAGTCCTTATTATGTTTAAATGCACGTTTCTTTGTTTACGAAAAGAAAAACTAAAATCTAGACTTTCCCAAGAATGTATTAATTGAATCATTATAGAGTTTCATATCTTTCATATCTCCAATCATTATTAGTCAGATATAGGCTGATAAAAAAAATCATGCAATATTAATGTTACTTATCCTTCTAACAATGTCTTGGAAAGGTAACACGATGATTGAAAATTCCATCTGTTTAATACCCAAGTTAGAAAAAAAAAGATTAAAGAACAACAAGGCGTAAATTTTCCCTTTTGATCTTAAACTTTAATGTAAAACTTGATGTATAAAAAAAAAAAATTTTTTTTTTTGTGACCGAATTTAATATTCAAAATGCCCCTTTTTCAAATCAACCACTGATAATAGAAAAATTTTATATTGTTAAACTAAGATTAAATTTCTACTAAATTTTTTAACCGCAGCGTAAATAAATAAACTATTTAAAAAGATGGATAGAAAATCCATCATCATTGGATAACTTTTTATTAGTACTACTGTATCATTGATTTTCACGGGCGCAGTTATGAAAGTCAAAGTTACAAATTATTTGCGGAACAGATGTCCGAAAGATTTTTTGTTTAACTTATTAATAAATTTTAATACACCCGAAAATAGTAGTTTGATGAATTAATAAATTTTAATACGAGGGGTTGACCGAATAAAAAAACAAAGAAGAAAATAAGATAAGATAAATTATATTCAAATATATTCTCAAATATAAATTTTTATGATTGATCTCCATTTTCTTTCTTTATTTATTATTTTTTGTTTTATGTTTCTCTTTTTTTTTTTTTTTTTTTTTTTTTTTAAAAAAAAAAAAAAAAATTAAGNTTTTTTTTTTTATGATTTTGTTTCATGGTTGTCCGTGAATAACCGTAAATGAACGTTTTTGGAAAACTAGAAAAAAAATCAACATTGTTAATTTTGTAATTTTTTTTTTTTCTGATGATGATGAAAAATCTGAGCACAAACAACACATGAAATTAGTTATAAAAAGGAAGAGAATTCTTTTCCTTTCAATTCGCTCCTCACAGTTTGTTTTTTTTTAAAAAAAAATATAATTGTTTATCCTACTCTCATTGTTTTCTTGCAAAAATAAAATTATATTTTATTTATTTTATTTTTTTTTAAAAAAAAAATTAAGAAAAAGAATTATGACTTCAAGTGATGTCTTTCGACCATCATTCCCTCCAAGATATAAAATAGAAGATTTTATTCATATCGATGATTTGCGAAATAATAGTCGAGGGCCAAATGCATTCTTCGTATATCGAAAAATATACACCAAACATCTCTTGCAATTAAATTGCCGATTTCCAATGACTCAAGTTTCGAAATTGGCATCAGACCATTGGAATAGTGAACCAAGTAGGGTTAAAAAATACTACAAAAAAATCGCCAAATATGTCGACCAAGAATTAGACAAAAGACGTCAAAGAATACCTCGTAATTCACTTTCGTTTAGTAATATTCTTACACCTTCTAATTATAATCCAAAACCAAAAGTTCAACAACAACCGTCTCCAATTACTGAATGGCCTCTTTCATACAGAGAAACATTCAATAAAGTAATAGTTAATGATCCAACTTTAGCACCTGCAGCGCCTGCACCAATTGATTTAATTGAATCCACTTATTTTTCTTATAATTCAGAAAGTGAATCAGATTCTTCAAACGATATTCCTCCCTCCAATGTTCTTAGTGAATTCGATTTTGATTGGAGTGAAGATTGTTTTGATGTAAATTTATGTAAATTTATGTAAATTTCTTTTTCTTTTCTTTTTTTAATTACTTTCGAATGGTTTTTATATATATATTATTTTATGTATTAAGTTTTTATTATTTTAAGATTTTACGTAAAAAGGTAGAAAAATTTTATCGAATTACAACGACGTGTAAACATCAACGATCAAAATGATCAAAAAATTTTTTTTTTTTTACATTATATTATATGTTTTTAACGATTAAAAAAATTATATATAAGTTATGTACACTCTTAACCAATAAGCATTTACAAATAAGCATTAACAAATAAGCATTAACAAATAAGCATTAACAAGATTTTTTATTAATTCTGGCTAGAAAGATAAGTTACAGAGAATATAAAAGTACAGTAAAGTAGAAAAGAAAATAAAAAAAAAATCTAAACTATGGTTCCTTCAAGGCAGATGATTTAATAATAAAATAAGCAGTTCACGTGATTACAATTTTTTATGTAATCAAAATTTTTTATTATTGGTGGATGGACATGACGTATATGACGTATGACATATTAAGTCATACATGTAAATAATTTATTATCATTCGACGACCGATGTAAATTGCATGTAATTACCTAACAATACTTAATTTATAATAAGGAAAAGATATTCCGCGTGAAAAAATTTTCGAGAAATGATATTTACAGAATTCTTTTTTTTTTTTTTCTTTCGCGTCGTGCATGCAATACCCGACATGTCGGTTTTTGTTATTGATGCGTTCTATAATAGGCTAAAATTCTGGAATATCCTTCTCAATATGTTCAAGCTTAGTCAAATAAAGTTATAATGCATGCATAATCCTTTACATGTGTGAAACTTTGCAGTACGTTTTGGGACGCATCAATAAGTTCCAAGAAACTTGATTTCTTTATTTTTTAAGCCGACTAGCCGAGGGCTAAAATGACTAAAATACAAATCAAGGAAGTTGATTATGATAAAGAATTATAAAAAATCTTTATTCTTTTAAATCCAAAAATTTATAATTCATTTAATGTAATATTTTAAGAATGGCCAATCATATGAAAAAAATGCAGTCAATAAATAAATCCGGTTACATAATTCATCGTTAAAACTTATAAACGATAATTCTTTGTTTCTCTTTAATATTAAGAAAAATATTATTCTAAAAAAATATTTTATTTTCCAAAATTAATTATTATTATGTTTGATAAGCAAGTCCGGACTCCGGAAGTTACAATAAGTGAAACTTCACGTTATCCATAATTTTCCATAAAGGGTTTATACAGTAAATAAAAAATGACGTTTAAGATTAAAAGGTAAAAATATTAATTATTATTACTCATCATTTTTACTCATCCTTATTCACCTAAAAAAAAAAAGATTTTTTTTTTTTTTT